TCCTGGGCCACGCGAGTGCTCGAAGCCAATCAACGCTGTCCCCACTCTGATTGGCTGGCGACGTGGAGACAGCGAAGGGCGCACACGCGCTGACACAACACCTCGAAGGCGGACACAGACAACAGCTTGCTTGGAGCGCGCTTGCGGCAACTGCCTACAGAGCCCCTGTGTACGCACTTCCTCAGCCAGTAAAGGTTGTCTAACTCTAACCGTCTTCCCTGACTTTTGATTGGGAGTCTTTATCTTGTCGCGCACACACAACTTCGACACCACGCGGTCGTGCTTGCAACGATTTGCAATAATCTTGGGGGAGTTCGGCCATATCGAATTGGCCGACTACAAGTTAGGCGTCCACTTTACAGGTTAAATTCGCCTCCGCTTTTTAAGACGGGTTTGGCTGTTGCACCAAGATGAAAGCCAGTCTCTGTCTTCAGACAAACGCAAAACTCTCCGACCAAGATGACTGGTACCTTATGCTGGACTCTTAGTTGTCTGTCAAGAACTTTAGCACCTTCAGCGATACGGCACTATCCAACTAGTGAACAGATTCGCATGGGCCGCGTTAACTGTGGCTGTCAAAAATGCCACCGACAGAGTTCCTGTCTGGGCTGATTTATCCACAGATCTCAATGCTGCTCTGTACACGCACCGGTATCCCTTACCAATGGCGGACTTGTTCCGTCTCGTCGGATCTATTTAAAGCATACCTCCGGATCGAAGTAGCTGAGGGGTTCCAGGAGCTTCTAGTGATTTACAATCATCGTCGTTTGTTCCAGTTCGTTCGCTTTCCATTTGGTTTTAAGACTGCTTCTATCCTTTTCCAGCAAAAATGATACCATATTAACGGGTATCGAAGGAGCTGCTGCCTACCTGGGTGACATCATCGCACCGGCTCCAATCCAGACGAGTTGTTGCAGCGTCCGAAGACCATACTCAGCAGAATTCAGGACTATGGCTTCCACCTACTTCTGGACAAGCGCGACTTTTAAGCCTTTGATGAAGCATCTCGAATTCGTAATCGATCAAGACAGTCGTCGTCCAGACCCGGCTAACGCTGATGTCACCGGGCAGATGCATCCGTCAGATGATATGACTTCCTTACAATCTTTATTAGTCCACATTAGTCACTAAAACTCATTCCTTCAGGAAGTACACCGCCTTCTTCATCCAATGAATGAGCTACTTAAAGCAGATGCCGAATAGAACTGGTCACGAAAATGCCGAAAGGTCTTTGAAGAAGTGAAAATATGTTAGGCCCTGACTTAGTGCTCACACATTCCAAATCCGATCCGAAGAACGTTGCAGTCTCTACCTCCAACTGGGGAGTTGGCGGCGTAATTTCATGTCTTTCACGATAACACAACAAAGGCTATCTGTCACACCACAAGGTCCCTGACGTCTGCGGAAAGCAAATACGGGCAGATAAAGGAGGCGCTGGTCACTGGCTTGGCCGTTAGGAAGTTTCACGCGGTTCTTAATGACCGACACTTAGCCCTTCTAAGGGATCATAAGCCTCTTCTTACGGTTTTCAGATCGAGGAAAGGCATTTCTGTGTATTCGGAAAATCGCCTTCAGCGCCGGGCAACCGTGTTGCTTGGATATGACTTCGACTTCCTGTACCCAGTCGGTTGTGAACATCGGCCGAGCCGATGCATTTTTCCGCCAAATAAACTCGCGGGATGATGAACCTGAAGACACAGTTATCATGCATGTCTCTGTTGAGTCAGAGGTTCACGATAATGGAGGGCAGTTTTCATCAGCCGCCTTCGTCCGACTCCGTCACAAGTCACGCATTAATCACAAATACCGCAGCTCCTTGTGCAACAACCACCCGTTTCTGCTTTTTTGTCACAGATGATGGATTCGAGTAGGAATCCGAAACGTCAGGCTAATAAAGCTCTTGTCCCGGCGATCGTGTCTCCTTCTTCAAGACTACTTCCTGGGACTCGTCTCTTCGCTCCTATTGGCAATTAATCACTGCGTTTGCCAACATGTCACCCGCAGCCCGATGAACAAGCCGACCTATTCGTAGACAAGTTCTAGAGGGCTCCGCAGAAGTCAAAAGCGGTGGGTACTACGGAGTTTCCCGAAGAATTTTCATCGAGCTATCGGGCAACCCCAAACCCGAATTTCCCACAAGGCTTCTCCCTTGCGAAGGCTGGGATGCAGGGAAAGCTTCGTACACCACGCCACCTAATTCCTCCGACGCCAGCTGTGGTGCGGCTACGGAATAGTGGTCATGAAACAGTCCGCCCAACATTGATGGTAAAGGCAATTCAACCAGCGCCATGGAGCAAAACAGCAGTCGTTCCATCCAGATAAGGTGCTGATAAAAGACTGCAGGGGCAATCAAGGATGTAATGACATTCAAAATCAAGGCATAACTATATCCTTTGAAATACTACTAGGTGCATTCGACTTGTCAAAGCCAAGACAAGAAACCCCTGTTCCAGCCGTTTAGACGATTGGACCGGGAGCGAGCGCAAACAGCTCCGTTGTAAGTGACCCGTCTTAACCACGCGTGCGCGTGTGTAGGTTACTCGACTAGAACGAGGGCTATGGATGCTACGCGTATAGTCCTTTCTACTTCCCAGTTAGAAGAAAATGCGGGTTCCTAAAGGGAGGTTGGGGATTATTCATAACGACGAAAAGAAGGGTTGGAATTCAGGCGGGATCGGGAACACGGGCGTGTCCCATGCCATGAACAGGCTGGTTTGGAGGCGAGCCTTGTTGGGTCCGGGCAGGAGAGGCGATGGCGTCTAGAAGGCGTCCTCCGGTCCAAGGTGCCAGGAACTCAATTGCCCTCAGTATTTATGGGGCCTCCAGGCGATGCAGGTAGGTTTAATGAATAAACCAATAGGCAAGAGCAAGCATGACAATGAAAGGTAGGATAATGCAGAGGATTAGCCATTAGGGTGATGGAGACCCCAAACTGCCATGGGCAGTGGGATTAAGGTTGGAAGGTGGCTAGTGCGGTGCTGTGATGCCGGTGGATAATCGGCAACGCGTTAGGAGGCTAGCGTGGCCAAGCCAAAATCGGGAAAACTGTGGCTATGCCCCTACACGTGTTGACGTCAAGCCAGCTCACGATAAGATTGGAGGTTTAACGAACCAGTCAAATGAGTCAGAAGTCCAGCCGGCAAGGACGATATCTGATTGGTCGAATTTTTGTTCGGCCCTGGACTTTCCTGTGTATTCCCCCAACATGCGCTGTAGAATACGGCAATACGTCCTGGTCCGCCCTTGCTGTTGGGTTCTGATTTGGGAATTCGATCAAGGAGGATCGTTGGGCTGACAACCGACGAGGCATGCGGCAAGTCATAACACCAGAAACGTCAGACGATGCCAATGATCTCTTGTGACTCCTTGGGCAAATTGTCAATCCTTCACCTATTTGTTTATTGATATGCAGGTTGGTTTCTGATTGTATTGAGGTCCCCGTGTCATATCACCGCTCTCATTCTTCGCTTCGAAGCTTGGATGTGCGGGCGTAGGAGTCACTACAGTTTCAAGGTCACCCGACCCCATTGCGAACATTAACCACTACAAAACCACGTCAGGGTATCCCAGACGTGCAGACTTGCCAGACAGCGACCACTTGCTGCCCTACCAGCCGATAATCCCTCACGCGCCGCCAAGATGATGAACACACAGATCATGACAGTTCGACCGTCGTTTCCGATGGTATCCACGTGTGCGCCAAAGCATGGTAGGCGCAGGGACAGTGACTTGCGCATTTATGGTGATAGTAGACTTCCGCTCCATCTACTTCACACTCTCTCAGTCTCTCTGGCCTCCCTAACCAATCTGAGTCCGGTGTCAAGACAGAACCAATAAGACCGGAGGTGAGATCGGCACACTAGCTGACGAGGCTAAACAGCTCGTCTGTGCTGGCTAAATAAGGCCGGTTGCCGCACAATGACCCAGAATTTCAATAAAATAACAAAGGGGCGGCTCGGATACCAACTAAGTTGAGGCGCCATAGAGGCAACCTGGCTCTTCCTCCTGACAGGAGGACTGAGTTGTTCCTTCAGTTGGCAGCCTTCCAGGCCGTTGTTTTTAACGCACTAGGATAGTTTATGAACGTGTCATGTCACTTATAGTGAGGAATATGCGCTGAGTACTGTGTGAGTGTAGTCCCCACAGTCGGCCTCACTCTGTCTTCCATCTCCAAGTCACCAGTCTACTGCCTGAGCCGGCCAACCATCTGACGCGGGGACTGGGCGCAGTGGCTGACAGCTAGACAACCGGTCTGCGCGTACCACACACGTGACCTGCCGTCCGCACAGCGCACCAGGATTTCACTCAAAGGGTATGGGTGGATCGGACCCCACATAAGTCAGGGTGTAGTGGAGGCATGGTTACAGAAAGTCATTGAGTCTGACTCCTAGTCCACCGGTCAATCTCTCCACGCGAACACACATAGGTACAACTGCGAGACCCGAGTTGCACCGTCCGTAGGCAAACTCCCAAGCCACGACCTCTAGCCCATCATGTTTATTATAGTGAAGAATTCACTGAAGCACCATGGGGACGGAATCCTCAAAGTCAACTTCATCTTCTCGTCCCTTTCCCGTGCTCCATTTGAGTGTCCGAGTCGGTCCAACAAGTGCCAATGAGATTTGGTGCGGTAGCTGACAGAGCTGAAAACGGCCCGTATACGAGTGTCGCACGCACGACCTGATCCCCGCACAGCACACCAGCTGTTCACAAAATGGGGATAGGCTGCTCATATCTCACATGTGTTAGAGTAGCATAGGGCCACATTGAGAAGGAACGGGAGAATGCACTTCCAACTTACGTGGGAGGTGCCTAGTCTGTTCCTGCGGTAAGTGATATCGGACGTGTTCGTGTGCAGTAATGTGGTTTGGTCTGCGATGGTTTACCGCAGATTTTCATGGAGGCGCATGTGACCGAGCAGGCCTATACGGTTACTAAATGTGCGTGAGCAGTTGGGGCGGGTGCAACGGGTGCATGTTGGTGCTCTAGACACTGCTTCGCTAGTCTGTATTTGATGGATTCGCAAGTGGCCGAATAGGTCGATGTGCATATGCGGTGGCAATACGGGCGGGACAGTTTGCTAGCGTCCGTGTCGGTTGTGATGATGATGTTGCTAGTGGTAGAAATGCTGATGGAGGGGAGCGTGGTGATGCTGGAGATGGGATAGTTGTCGGATGTGTAAGGTGGGCTTGGCATGTTGACACTGAGGCGAATTTCGATGTTTTGGATGCGCATCTGGCTGAGTAGGTACACATGATGACCGAATGTCCACGGATGGTGAGGACAGTTAAGGCAGATGTATGTCGGGGCTCCTGGTACTGGTCCGCCGGTCTCGGTGCGATGGATTCACAAGTGACCGACTGGACTAATGCGCGATGGGAAGGTGAAGCCTCAGCGAAGAATGTTGGGATCAAGCCCACGTTGCTGGTGGTGGCGACGGTGATGAGGGTGATGGTTGACGTGACTTCTGGAGTGTTCTCACTGCCGGTGGAAGTAGGAGGGGTGGTAGTCATCGTTGCGGGGGTTGTGGCAGGGATAATGGGGGTACTGTGTGGCAGGGCAGCGGGAGAGCGCGCACCGGTGGTGATAATGGTCGCAGTCGTGGAGGTTATGGGAGTAATGACGATGGCGGCGTGTGAGGAGGCTGAGGGTGGATTTGGAGCGTGGCTATTGCATCGAGTATGGAGATGTGTGACGAGACCGATCGATGCGTCGAACGTTCGTTGACAGTGTGGGCAGTTTGGAAATGGTGCGGTGTTTGGCTTAAGAGTCCGCGGACCTCGTGACTTGCAAAGCGTTCTTTAGGCTTTGACAGCAGCGATCCGGGTTTCTTCCTGGAGTGCTGCGCCAGTCATAATTGATCATCTCCTAGCTGGTTAGTCCTCGGCGAGGTTCCCCCATTCCATGTCTCCGGTTTTATTTGAAAGGGCTCGAGATAGTTCTTCATGGTGTATTTGTAGCGTCCGGTTTGCCGACCTTGTCGGCCAGCGCCCGTAGCGACGTCTCCACAGAAGAGTCGTTGGGTTATCGTTCGTCGTCTATCCTCACGGGGTTGCAGCCCCAGCACAGTTATAGTTGCCTCAGCAAGATGAGAATGGTAAGAAATACGATCTGTTCCAAGATTTATGCAACTGGTATCCTGTTCTTCCACCCCAGGTTTAGTATTCTCCGGCGAAAGGTGAGGTGTAAGTGACTATGTTTCCTGGCTGGACTGGCGTAGACGGTCCATGTCTACGTCCGTATAGTTGCGTTGTCAGAGCTACCACTCCTTACATTCTGAACTACCTGTTGATTCGAACTCTGTGGCAGTTACAGACGGCGACCTGCAACCTGCTGAAGGCCTAGCTAACTTTGGGCATCCGGTGGGCCACTTCGTTGTCTATCTTGGTGCTCCCAAGGTAGCAGAACTTGCACATAGATGTGAGTCGAGTTCCATTCACGTCGATACTAGGCGTAGTGATTTCCTTCTCTGGTGTTTTTTTTCCGTCATAATGGTCAGCCGGAGATGTAAAGGTCCATGCTTCTCTGCATGGCTGCTTCCGTCGTGGCAGTGAGTGCACAGTCGTACGTGAAAAGGAGTTCGTAAACAGTGGCTATTGAAGTCCGCGTGGTTGCTTGCACTAGTCAAGTGTTGGGGAGCTGGTCGTTGCACCTGTAGACGATGCTGGCCCCAGGGCGCTCGTCACGATATGGGAGGGAAGGCGAATGGGCCAGGTTGTTGTTCGTTTACACCTGGGAAGCCGGTCGACAGCGACATCGGTGATTATGGATGGGCGGTAGAGGCCGGTTGGGAAATTCCCGCCCCAACGCTTCAGATTTTACAATTTCTCAGTAATAAGTCTTAGCCCGTCGAACTTGAGCAGCAGACCGGTTCATTTGTCTGTTAGGCTGTAGACTGTCTTGATAAATGCGAAGAAATTCTTTGCTTCAATGCGGTCCGCATATCCTTGTATTTCCTCGGCCTTACAGTTCATCCACGCATCTTTCATTTCCCGCAGCCGTTGCTGCATGAGACAGCGAAATCTGAAGGTGGCCACTTTGTTTGCGCCGGTACGGCAACTGATGTAGGCCTTTTTGCTGACTTCAGCGACGCTGCCGTCAAACCAGTCCTGGTGTTGACGATTTGTGCCACCGAGGTTGTACAGGGTGGTGGAGTGGAGTGTGTTCCGCGGTTGACAACACTGTGTCTCCATGGTTGTGTCCTCACCCGGAGTCTGCAGGTCTCCCATGCGCGGGACCAAATACCTGCTGAAATCAAGGCGGTGAGCAGACAAATTCAACAGAACAGTATCTAGTAGGTGCTTTGGCAGATTTTGAATAATGTATTTTGGTCCAAGTGCGAACATCTCGGCGACCTTGGTGGGATTCGAACCAACCACAGCAAGAAGGCGGCTTTAGCACACCCAATGCCCTAGCCACCTGAGCTACGAGAACCCACTGGGAGCCGTGAATTTAATAACATTTGGATCAAGTTATCCACCCAGCCTACTGAATCGTGTGGAACCAACCAAATCTCATCAAGTAAACAGAAAGTCCAAGCGGGATTTCCTAAGTAATAAGTATAGAATCCACTAGATGACTACCAGACCCACATGATTAGTTGGTGTTTTGGCAGATTTTTAGCAGTATTTACTTACCTAGTGGTTGATTACCTTATGGGCACCTGCGAGGTTGGAGTCGCAGCCTCATTATGGAGATAACGTGGCGGTGGCCTGCCCAGCCGTCGGTGTCACAGGTCGCCTTGGTTACCAGCACGTCCTGTCCAGAAGTTGCCAGGGCCGCGAATGAGGGTGCACCCAGACTCCCCTAAGCCGTGTCGGCAGACAGAAGGTGTTGGGTAGGAGGAGACAGTTTCTTACACAGGTTCGCAGAAGCAGAAGGCCGTTGTCGTTTTAGCGTTGAGCGCACGGCGACCATGCACTCTCTCTCTCTCTCAGGCAGCTTGACTTAATCCCGATGCAATCATTTAAGTTGCCAAGGGCAATCGGCTTTTCCGCCTTCCGTACAGTCGTCATGAGGGCGTGTAGAATTTGTTTTTCGCCTCATCGACACTGACCATTGGGGGCATAGGCGCTAATAATGATGGAAAGTTGGGATCCCCGAAGAGTCAGGCGCAGGGTAATGAGACGGACGTCGACGCCCTGCGGCAGACAGGGCAATCGTTTTGCGATGTACTTCCGCATGAAAAAGGCGACGCCAGCGTATCTTCGCTCTGCATTTGAGCTGCCGCCCGGAAGATGGTGTAGCTACCACCCACCTCCAATGATACTGTTTGGAGAATCGGATTGCATTGAGAACAGCGATGTCCACTTTGTAGCACGCCAGTCCTCAAGCAACTAGCACCCTCCTTCCTAGGCGGTTACTCCGCGGACTGTCTTAAAGGGAGCGAATATTCTAGGTCGCGTGAGTGAGCAGAGTTACTCCAGCAGCTTGTGAGTTGGAGCGAAGGGGGTAGGCGCGAGGGTTGTTGTTGATGTTCGTTGTTCTGTTTCGACCGTGAAATTTCAATCTGAGATCCACATCCAGCGTTCAGATGGCGTGATCCAAGCATTTGTATAGGACGCCTCTTCTAGCCCCTTTCCGCGAGTGGGTAAGCAGCGATTTTCCTAAATAGGGCTGTTTAGACACCCCAGACGGCGTCCGAACTCGACTGTGAATCACGGCTTAGTTTAGTGGGAAAGCCATTCGAGTTATCCTTGGGCGCCTACGGGATTGCATGTCACCCACTGGGTACGACTTTTTGAAGTTGAGGGAAAAGGGGAAGGTGGAATGGGTTTAGCGGGCCTAACTGATCAATAATGCGATCCCACACTAAGACCAACTCGATAAAGGCCAAGCAGAACGACCACGCCAGAGCAGACTCAACTGTCAACGCCGCATAGTGAAGAACAAAGGCAGTGATGAAGTCAGTTGGTGAGACCGAAACTCACACCAATAGAAAAGGGGTTTCCATGGTTTTTAAACCCGCGACAATGCGCCAATCCTCGACCTTCGAAAACAACGAGTAATTTGAGGACAGATCAGTTCTAGAATCGATTATGAACGAAGCCGTTTTGAGACCAATTTCATGGTCGTGCTACAGGAAAACTGGTTAACTTAAAGGGCACTGAAAGCGCATCAGGTGGATTGTAGGCCAAGTACAAACCTGGATAGTAATATTAGGGCAAATTATTGAGGTATCGAAATACGAATACATGTTATACCTCCAAGTAATGAATTGAAATAGACAAAAGAAATACAATTTAAGCTAATATTTTTAAGAGGACAAGATGACTTTAGGTGGTAAAATGACCAATATTTCCGTGTCCAACCGCCTGTTTGTTTTCATTTGGTAGACTCTGGTTGCCCGGTTCGAGAGTGCCGTTGATATAGATCTCGTTATATGCCCTCGATTGCCTGCATGACCTCGGCTTAGGGTTTGTTTTTGCGGAGGCTAAAAAAATTCTTACTTAATGCTATTATCTGGGAAGCCAGGGTCCGACTTAGCGCATCCTCGGCGGAGTGACATTCAGTGATCTGATCTGCTTGCAGGACGGAGTACGAATCTTCCGTTTAGCTTTGAACTCGGGCCTGCTGCACAACAGTCTGACGAGAGCACATGAGCCACAAGGGTGTATTCTAACCTTCGTTGTATTCATCAGTAGAAGTTTTCGATTAGCGGAGTTTGTGACCAAAACCTCGGGAAAATTACGTCAGGAGGAGGGCTTACTAATCTGCTTGTAGCCGTTTGAGTATGGTTGCTATAACCTAAATAACCATCTTATTCTCACTTGTCTATGACGCTGAAATGCTGTCTGACAAGAGGACAAAAAATTCACAGTTACACAATCCCTAGTAGATAAAAGTTGTCAATATGAAGTACTGCTCCCCCTCTATTTCTATGACCCATCTGTCTGTCAAAACCGAGAGTTGTGCTTGATTTCCAAAAGTGTAAATGGGTCGGTTGCAAACCGGAGACTTGAGAAAGCGAAGGATTCTTAAACAAGGGAAGTAAGTGTAGATATGACAGCAGGATTAATGACGAACAGCGAGAATAGACATGTCGCTGCCGCATTATCTGTTACACGATATTTAACATCAAGTTTTGCATACAAAGAACAACCGTCCGGAGTAGCCGCCTCTGTTTTATTTAGGATCGTCAGTCATCTCCTGTCCAAGGCCCAGAACATCCGAGAGTTTAAGCCGGTCCCAGGTGTTCAATGTTCTACCATTCGAGTCACGGTTCCCCTCTGTCATCTGCGATTGGAGACACTTGAGGTCATTCGGAAATTGCCTATACCGCCTTAACTCAACTGACAGGACATTCGGTATGGTGTCTCACCAAAATTGGAGTTAGATCGCAGATCTTCCGAAATAGGACCAGCTGGTCAGGGTTATGCTTGGCTGAATGAAGACAGAATTAGCCCGAAACAGTACTTTATCAATCAACCCGCATTCACTGGCGTCTCTCCACGCTGTTATTATGACTTGACTGACTTCAGCGTGGTAATTGGTTGCCTGTTCGTGACTTTTGCCACCCATACGGAGCTTGTTTGCTTCGTGAAGCCAAAGATCGGTGTGCGCCCACTCCTGATTGAATAAATACCCCATCTGTAGGGACACAGAGTGACAGGTGGCGAGGCACTGATGAACTTCGGTTCGAGGAAGTGCTTATGACCCATCTGGTAGACCCCAGTGGTGGACCACCTTTGCCAGGTGCGTCTGTGCGCATGTTTGTGTTTATGGTCCCAGCTGCTGGTCAGGGTTATGATTGGCTGAATGAAGGCAGAATAAGCCCGAAACAGTACTGCATCAATCTACCCGCATTCTCTATCGTCCCTCTTCGCTGCTATATATATGTAACGGTAGCGGGGCGCTCAACGATTGTCCTTACGAACGACGACGACGACGACGATGACGATGGTGGTGGTGGTGTTGGTGGTGGTGGTGGTGGTGGTGGTGGTGCTGGTGGTGGTGGTGGTGCCGACTGGACGTCGACAAGGTTTTCATCACTCAGAAAATCGGCCCTAGTTCCTTTTTAACATCACGCTACTTTTTATCAACTCATCTTTTAAAATTTGTATATCTAAAGCAGAACTAGCTAAAGAGACCTGGAGCCCAGCAAAATCCAAAGAGTGGAAAAAAGCATGGAATCTATCATCATCACGACCTCTTTATTAATGCTTCGGTCAGAGTGGGATCGCATCAGTCGGCACATCCAACCTCCGTTTGTGTCTGGAAAATAGATCACCAACCTCACGAGAGGCAAGCGGATTCGCTCACGATAGTCGGTGTGAGGGTGAGAGGAGGAAAAAGACAGAGACTTGTGCAAGAAAGGGGGCACAAAAACAAAAAGGGTCTAGAATTCTCCGGGTGTGGGAGGGAAGTAGGGGGCGGGAATAAGGGGTAGTTATGTAAAAATTCCAGCTGTCCTTATGTTCATAGGGGGGTTGGTTAGATTTGTGTTGCTTTCAGGCTCCTGAGTCCATGCACTCCTTTGGGGTGCTTACTGAAAACAGGCCTGTCCCAGTTTGACGCCAATGCTTGCGCCAGCATCAACGAAGGCGACATCACGGATAGGTAGGCGCATTGCGACGCCGCTGACGTCAATCTGCGCCTCCTTAGCTTCATTCTACAAAAGGACGTATAAAGAGGTTACTTCTCTAGTTTCTCCATCCCGATTACATTTCAGATATACTTTTCTTGTTTGATGGGGATTCCGGTGGGGGAGGGGGGGGGGGTGGCAAAAATTTTTGACCAGTTTAACAGCTGCCTAGAAACGAATGTTAATTCGACATTCAATGTCCTCGGCTGGCTGAGAGATAGCTTATAATCAAACCAGCTAGAAGTTTCCCCAATCTAACAGAATATTACGAAGAAGAAAGTAGGCTAGGAATAACTTATGTGGCCCCTAAACAGGGCATGGGAATAGGTGAGCCCCGTCCAAGTAGTAAAGGTGGACCTGCACATAATTCTGGAAAAGGCAGAATATTCCCGCGTCCTAGCCCCAACAATAATCCTGATATACAACTAAACCGTCGCCCTAATCTGGATCCTAACCTTAACTCTGACACTAGCCCGCACCTTAACCCTAAGCTTGAGTCTGACTTGCCGCTAACTCTAAATATAGCTTTAAATCTAATCCGTAACCTAACCCTAGCCCTGATTTCACTGTGAGATGGCTTATAGCCACCCGCATCGCAGGCGGTTCCTGTTCTCATATTCTGTTTAGGGAGCCATATAAGTCAACCCTACCGAAAGTAAAAGATGGTTTTGCAGCGTTGAGTGTAACGACCCTACTCAACTACCTGGGGGTCTTATTTGACCGCTCACCTTATTTGCCTCGGCCTCGAACATCCCGAGGTCATTTAATTCTATTTCAAAGGCTCCTACTGCAAAGCGACCTCACTTACTCCCAGGCGCGTGACCTGCGACCACCCGACCGACTTCAGATCGGACACATGTGCTTCCCGACAGTCGTGGCCGTCCGTGCTCTCGCTTGAATTCGTCCACTCTTCTCGGCCATTGTCGCGCACGCAATTAGATACACTGCCTCCTGGGCAATGCAACACACACACCGATTGGACAACACTTGGATTTGCTACTACAGACCTATGCTAAGCATAGGTTGTATAACTCCGCTGGGTTTAGTATGTATAAGTAACTACTGTATTTGTTTTAGCTGGTCTTGCCTAGTTTATTAATCCATAACTACAGGAAGTATCCCTTTGGGTGTTATCTACCACTTTGATGAAAGTGTATGTACCGAGTTGCTTCAATATAACCTTTTTAACGGTAAATTATCTAACATGCTGCTTTCGGTTCCTCCCTCTGCAATCCCTTTTATCCTACCTTGATTCCCTACTTAACCCAATATACTCGCATTGTCTTTCGTTCTCGATTCCGTACGCCGTGACTGACTTATTTCTTTCAAAAAAGTAGTCAGACCTTTTTGTGCCATGTCAGTTCTCACCATACAACGCGTGCTGTAAGAATCGCCAGCTGCATGTTGGTTTACTCTGCCTCGGTTTGAACACAAACGCTCGGCTTCCTCGATATCTCCGAACAGTTTCTGTTGTCGAACTCATATGCCTGAATAATTTATTTCTTTAAGAACACTTGCGCATAATCCCTCGCATAAACAATAATAAGAGAGTTACATTTAGTCGAGTTTATGTAGAAAAAATTACTTGCAAATTGTCGTTAAATTGCCTTCATTACTAAGTCTCCTTACTGTGCAGATAGAAACATGCGATCGTACTTAAGTTGACTTTGTTCTCGTTCAGTAGGGTGTATTCTCATAGCTCTTTTGACATTGATATGTGTCACGTTACCTTGCAGCAAATTTTCGTACTTGCACTATTTGGCATCTACTGTTCCTCTTTCCTTTTGGTTGTTCGTTCTATTGGTTCTTTACCTACTTCAGATTTGCGAGTGACGGTTTATTCATATACTCTCGTTTATTAGGAGTCACTTTTTATTTGTTTTTCAAGTAACGCGCTCAACCCCGTTGTTATATACAAGCATAGAGAACGAATCTCAACGGAAATCGACTTATTTTTATGCTTTATTGTATTCGTTTCGTTTCCCCTCCACGGTGATGCCACACCCGGAAACCCTCATTACCACTACTCCAGCATTGCACGGGACTAGGGTTAGTTTTTGTGAGGTGGGGCTATACAACCTACTATTGCCAAACCATTGGTATGGGGATTGTATGGGTGGGACACTAGGCATCACAAAGCGCGTGGAAAAGGCCAACCTGTATGGCCACCCGCCAAATGAAACTTTATTTACAACACGCGCCTACTCAGATTTTTTCGGTAGGCGCGCCTTGCGAATAAAAGGAAATCTGGTGGGCGGTCACAATAGACCCTTCCTGCTGGTGAATTCGGCGGTATCTTGCTAATCGATGCTTAACTTGACGAGCGTAGCTCCCTTAGGTACAGCCACTACCTTCAACAGCAGCAAGACAAACCAGTCTCTAGCTCTTGGCCCTGGTAGTTGTGGGTTGGTGGGTTTTGCACGTACCTTGCAGTTGTTACGAACAACGGTGAATTTGGCATGAACATCAGCCGCGCTCAATTCGACCTCGTTGTCAGCATGCAGTTTCAGCATTTCGATGGACTCCGCCGATGCCTCGTCGCAGGGCACACTGAGAGTTTGCCTGCCCACGGGACTGCGCAGTTTCAACATGGCCAGCTGTGTGCCCTCAACTTCGTAAGCGAACTGCAAAGAAGATTGTTGCATTTTGTAAAGTTACATAAAGGTAGTTTTATAAAGAGAGTTGTCCGGTATCTGACCGTCTGCCGTTCCCCACGGGACGGCGTAGCTGCTCAGGCGTAAAGATGATAAAACAAACTGCTTTCGCAAATCACTTGTCTTTGTGAAATAAGTGCTGCAATGCAGAGTGCGCTGACCGGACTGTGTAGGCATCCCGCCACATGCGCACCCAAGGTCGTGTACCCTCGTCCAGACAACCTTGGTGCTGATTGACAACCCTTCAGCCTATGACCTTTCCCTCTGCCATATACTAGCCGTTTTTACAAGGTTTCCCACCTGTGCTGTGGCTCGTACTCAGTACACGTCCTGTTTACAACTACCTTCTGTTTTGCATAAATAACACTGTGGACCTCAGAGGAACAGCACTACGAATTCTGCGCACTGCAGAGTACGATCACTTGTATTGCTCAGTTGGGTGCCCTCTCATATGGGATAAATTTCGACAGGAACGAGGAAAACTGGAGGAACCATTCTGTTTTATCGGCCTTCGTCAGCCAGAGATTTCTTCATGGTGGGCCCTTGGACCAGTGGTAGAGCGTTTAACTTAATATCACTTAATCAACCAATTTGGATCCGGAGCGAATACTATTTGGACTTGGAGTTTAAGTACGAATGGCCGATCGCGGTTAATAAATCAGAAATAATCATTCAGCCTTATCGTACTCTCTACAGTATCTCTTCTACCCACGCGGTTTGTCAGTAAGCTGCGGTCTCCAGGTCTCTAGAGTGCACTTTCACAGCAAATCGGAACCAACATTTCCTTTCCTTCTGTCGGATCGGTGAAAAACCATTTCCTCATGTTCTTTCATAGTCCGAAAGAAGCAAAATAGTTAAAGCAGTCGTGAACGCAGCATGCGGGCATTTTTGATACAGTTCATCTTGCACAGGGGGATTTGAGGGTAAGATACATTAAGATATATATTCCCCAAGCATTGATTCCCATTACCGGTTTGCGAACACGATTAATCAGGAGTCGGAGCACTTAGGACCTGTTCTTGCCTTAAAAACGCCTATTATGTAGATATATTTTCTAGATTATTGACTGCGTGTAGTTGTGCGACGAATCGGACGTTCATAGTCCGTCTTGCAGGCAGAGCAGCTCACTGAACGCCACTCCCCTACAACATTTCTATTGATAAGATTACCCAAGACATCGGCGGATTTAGCTGGAGCATGCTAAGAAGACGCTGTAAAGTCCCTAGGGACAAAATAAACCTCCCGGAATATTCGTACACGCGATCAGCAGATAACCGCATTTCAAAATGCTCTTGAACATCATACACGCACATGAGCATGCCCGGCGAACGCATGCGCAAAGATTCCATGTTTCTACCCTAGGTACGGCATCCTGGCTATATCGGCTTGGGAAGTTGTGAATAGAATCATTATCAAAGTTGTTCCTTCCTGGAACTTTTGTTTGACTTCCGCGGACAGCGGACGAGATCCCTTTTCTCTCCTTATCCTATTTATATTACTCTTTCCTTGTTCAATTCCCGTCTTCTTTCACATAGAGCTTAGTAAAGTGTTTTTTCCCAACGAAGCGCGCGCTTAAAACTCAACAGCCACGAGATAAAAATCAGTCTACCGCGGTGACTGGAAATAGTTTTCTTCAGATCGATCTACGTCCCCCGTCCAACGTGCGCATTCACAATTCATCTATTCGGAGGCCTACTCAACGCGTCCCGTAATGCTTGTCGAATCTTCCTCGAACCTACATAACTACTTTTGGCTTTGTAGGCATAGTCTCATATGACGCTCGCATACTGCGTCCATGCCCAACATTTTTATTTGGTCTGTTTCCCGTAAGTATTCAAGACGCTTTAACCACAAACTCGTGGAGAGAAAGTGTGATAAGTGTGCAATAAAAGACGAACCTGGTCAAAGTCGTCAACTTCCCCGAGCCAAGTGTAACCAGGCAAATTTCCTCCAGACGCCTTGTAATCCGTCTTCTTTCCTTTTATACAAGTCTCCTTTGTGCGCATGTCGCAGTAAACAAGGATTGCGTCTTCAGGCGAGCCACCATTTGGATCGATCCAGTACTCCCCTGTAAAATTCGGCGTATAGTTTAAATTCAAGGTGAAGGGAATCGGCCTGCTCAAATAGCTAGAGAGCTTTGAAAGTAGGCCGGTTTCTCAGAGAACTTACCACTTGGGAGGTGTGGTTGCGCCTCAGCAAGTTGCTTGCAAGTTAATGCGGGAACACTGCGAGTTCCATTAGGTTCTGACACAGTTTCAGTGCCGAAGATTTGGGCAACTGCAGCAGCATCAGACATGAAAATATTGCCCTTAGTTGGTGAGGTCATCATGGGCATTTTCACGGCCGGTGGACCGGGTGGACCAGGCGGTCCAGGTGGACCGATGGGGCCGGGAGGACCACGTGGACCATCCCGACCAGTTGGGCCCTGTGGGCCGGGTTGTCCTGGATCGCCCCGTGGACCTTTTGGTCCTTGGGGACCACGTTCACCCATAAGACCGGCCTCGCCAGCTGGACCAGGGTTTCCGGGCTGACCAGCCTCACCAGGAGGGCCTCGAGGACCATCATCACCCTGCTCACCAGGCATGCCAGGAGGCCCAGTCCAGCCTGGATGACCCTGAGGTCCAGGTCGACCAACAGGACCAGGTTCACCGTCCTTGCCGTCTGGTCCAGGGTCACCTGGCTCGCCCTGTTCGCCCGGCTTTCCTGGGGCACCTTGAGCACCGGCACGTCCACGATCACCAACAGCTCCCTGCCGTCCCTGTTGTCCTGGTGGTCCCTGCTCACCGATTGGCCCAGGGACACCTGGATTACCTCGCGGTCCGCGGAAGCCGGGCAGACCAGTGTCACCTTGTTCACCTGCTTCACCAGGGGGTCCAGCTTCACCATCAGCTCCGACGGCACCTTCTGGTCCCTCTTCACCAGGTGGGCCTTTACGACCTTGCGGTCCTGCGGGTCCCTTTGGTCCCTGATCACCGGTAGGACCCTGTGGACCCTGTGGGCCGGGTGGACCTTCAGGACCGGGAGGACCTTGTGCTCCGGGGGCACCGCCCTGGCCACGCATGCCCTGTAATTTGGATGGAAAGTTTCTGAAAAGCGTAATGTTATTTGAAGCATATGTGCCACCTTAATATGCCAGTCGTATCTACTAGTCAGGAAAGACGGTATGTAAAGTTAATGTCGCCTTAAAAAACGAGCTGAAAAAAACAAAGGACTAATAAACTGCTGGTCTGATTACCATTGGTCCGACCGGGCCGTCGCGTCCAATACCGCCAGCTGCACCCTTTTCGCCTTCTGGTCCAGCCTCGCCAACGGGTCCGGCCTCACCCATAGCACCCTCTTTGCCTGGTTGACCAACGCGGCCAGGCGGTCCAACAGGGCCAGGTTGGCCCTTTTCACCGGCAGGGCCAGCTTTGCCTGTTTGTCCGGGCTTGCCACTGAGGCCAGTCAAGCCACGGGGTCCTGGCAGACCGTCTAATCCATTGGGACCACGAATCCCAGGCTTGCCGCTGACACCCTGGTTGCCAGCAGGACCAGGACCTCCAGCGTGACCTTGGGATCCCATAACACCAGCAGGTCCGGGAAAACCATCACGACCGGGATTTCCGGGAGCACCTTTTTTGCCCTGTGGACCACGTTTTCCTGCGTTTCCTGCTGGGCCTGCAGGGCCGGGCGGACCTGTCACACCCTGCATGCCGGGTTTGCCATCAGCTCCATCCGGACCAGGCTCACCTGGCTCACCGGGAATACCGACCGCTCCGACTGACCTTCCGACGATACGCAGGAAACCAGCTGGTCCGGCCACACCTGACGGGCCCCGAGGTCCAGGGGCACCGTGCTTCCCAGAGGGACCGCGCATACCCTGGCGTCCACGCTCGCCCTTATATCCTCTAGCACCAGGTGCACCCTTGTCACCAGGGAGACCAGGAAGACCCTAAAATCAAAATTGTATATATATATGCTTATAAGGTCACCGACAATGCAATAGAGCCCAGGTGGAGTAAGGCATTAGTTAAACACCTAATTTCAGATTAAAAAGGACTGCTTACAGGAGCGCCGACTTCACCGATCTGACCCATTGGTCCGATCTCGCCTTTTGCACCCCGAGTACCAGCAACACCCTCGGGACCTTGAACGCCTGGTTCACCGCGCTCACCGGCAGGACCCTGGCGGCCGCGAGGACCCTCAGGACCGTCCGCAGCGTCTTTGCCTGGGGCACCCTCAGCGCCGTCAGATCCGGGTTCACCAGTTTTGCCGCGTGGACCTCGAGCGCCCTGAGGTCCATCTGGACCCTGTGGACCCGGGTTTCCCTTTTCGCCCTGAATGCCTTGCTTTCCGCGGGGTCCAGCAGGTCCGGCCTCACC